CGGGAGTCTTCGTGTACCAGTAGACTCAAAATTTTCTTCTGAATTAGCCGAAATGAATATTATTATTAGGACAAAGTTATATATTATAATCGCTAAAATAATAATTAAACCGAAAAATAAATATAGGTGCAAACATTATAATTAGAATGCTGATTTCTCCGCAATTGAATTTTTTTCCTTCTTACATTTTTGGATTTTTGTCAGTAATCTTTACGAACCATAATATTTTGAAATTAATGCCGAAATTTATTTTGCATATTTTTGAATATTTAATGGTATTGCATATATTTGAATATTTTTACGAAATTCAAAATGAATTGCATACTGAAGCGAAAATTTAAAAAAACAGGTATAAAATATATTTTGTCAAGTAGACAAATCAAAAATAAATTTTGCGTGACGTACTAAACAATAAATAGAAATTGAAATAAAGATAAGATAATAATATACTAATAATAATAATATAATAATAATATAATAATATACTAATCAACTTTTTATATTTAGACAATTTATTTACTCATGCTGTTTCCTTCAGTTATCGACATACCGTTTAGTTCTTATTGTACGTAAATCGTTAATAGGTAGTTCGATTTGCAATAAAATTCGATAATGGATTTCCTCAGTGAACCAAGACACTGAGGTTTTCACTACTGATGGAAAAATAGTATTTTTCAACCCTTGTGGAAAATCTATTGTTTGTGAGGGAAAGTCTCAAGTAGATTAACGCAATAACACATAAAAACAGGCACTTATTTTTGTACAATTTTAATTTATTTTATTGCTCTGCATCTGTTGGTTTTATTGTTTTTAATTTTACTTTTCTTAATTTTTTTGCATATTTGTCGCATATTTTTATTATTTTTTATTCATTTTAATAATAAATACAATTTAAAAAATAAATAAAATTATAATACCTTTTTTATGATACTTAAATATAGGTACCAATTTATTTTAATTATGAAATTTAATAATTCTATTAATATTTTACAAATTTGTGATTTTTTTGCATATTTTTACGATTTTGACTGCATATTATGTGGCATATTTTGATGCTTCTTAGTGGATAAAAATCTGAGCTCTAATTATAATATTCAAATTACAGCATGCGATAAAGTCGAAGTGGTATATTATCCAAACGAAAGATCCCGTTTACACCAACTTATAAAAACATGACTTGTTTGGAGAAAATTGTATGACCAGTTAGCAAAATAATTGTAAATGTTGTTACGATGAACCTGTTTGGACCAATTTATTACATCATATAATTTATAAATAGCATTTTCCATATTATTTTTCATAAGCTTAGGAGTTCGAACTGTCAAACAGTTTTGACAAGGTTACATTGTGTTTAAAATAATATTATAGGTACATTTATAGACGCACACGCTATCGCATCTGGTCTAGGTAGGTATACCTATTAGGGTTGCTAGAAGTTCCTTATAATACGGGAATGTTCCTCTTCTAAACTAAGTGTCAGGTTAACTGTGATCACTCGTCGGGACACAAAATTTCGCCATTTTCCAAAAAAAAAAATGCCGATTAAAAACTTTTTTCCAGGCAAAACTGTTCAAAAAATAATACAAATAGTTCCTCATAAGTCATAATTTTTTTAACACACCAATTACAAAATAATACAAATTTATAGTCACAATATTTTTTATAAGCGTTTAAAGTTAGAATATTAACGAAATTTGTCCAAAACACGAACATTTGAAAATTATTTTGTAGTTAAAAATTCATAACATTTTTCATTTATAATTTATATCTATATATATATGATTTAAAAGTTCAACACAAGATTCCTCATATTATGTTAATATGTTATCCATTTAAAACCATTATACAGGGTGATTTTTTTATCGAAGAACACTCATTATTTCAAAAAGTATTAATGTTTAAGAAAATATTTTTTACATAGTTTCAAGTTGTTAAAAAACAGTATTTTTATTAAAAAATTATATTTTAAATATTTTTTATCCTTTTAATTTTTTAAGTTTTTTACTTTTTTGAATGACAACATCTAATTTTAATTTGATATTCAAAAACAGAATATTTTTCTGATTATTTTAATACATAAAAATTGAATTTAGGGCAAGTAGTTTATGAGTTATAAGTATTTAAAGTTTAGATGAGCGGAGTAGAGGACAAACATTTCGCGGGGTAACCCCGTACCACTCTACTCCGCTCATCTAAACTTTAAATACTTATAACTCATAAACTAATTGCCCTAAATTCAATTTTTATGTATCGAAATACTCAGAAAAATATTCTGTTTTTGAATATCAAATTAAAATTAGATGTTGTCATTCAAAAAAGTAAAAAACTTAAAAAATAAAAAGGATAAAAAATATTTAAAAATATAATTTTTTAATAAAAATATTGTTTTTTAACAACTTGAAACTATGTAAAAAAATATTTTCTTAAACATTAATACTTTTTGAAATAATGAGTGTTCTTCGATAAAAAAATCACCCTGTAGAGATGTAGAGGGACATTTTTTAAAGCATTTAAAATTCACATTTTGAGAACATTTTAATACATGCTACTCATAAGTACGTATTTTCATACTGCAACCAAAAATCTAAAATATATAAAAATACAATTTTTTTTTTTAAACATTTTAAATTCAGATTTGGACGTAATTAGATATTCACACAATTTTAGTTCTTTTGTTATAATTTAAAAATAGTATTTGCTTGAAAGTGAAAATGTTGATGAATATTATTTTATAGTTTTATACAAAATAACAATTTCATATGCAAAACTCTCACACAGCTCACCTAAAGCCATCACTATTCCAGGTTTCTCTTACACCGACGTAAAAAAATTTAGAAAAAATCACACTACTAAAGTGTTTCAACAATATTGGTCAAAACAAACGACTAAACTTAACGAAATCAAAATGTTAATAATCCCATGGCCAGATGGCCTCCACCGTCAGATTTCTCCAGAAGACAAGAAGCAATTATAAATCGTCTCAGAATAGGCCACACCTCACTAACCCATCGCTATCTATAATGACAAGAGACGACCCTGTGGTGTCCAACTATTAAGCACATTCTAACCGAATACAGAAATCATCAAAAATATCTAGATGAAACCCTCTGCTCCACACATCTTCACGAAATTCTCAGTCCAGATTTTACTGTAATTGAAAATTTATTTATGTTTTAAAAAAAAATTTATTTGTACAATGAAATTTAAGCCTTTCTAATTTTAAGTTTAAGTCTATATTATGTACCTATGTATTTAAAATACCCTAATATATGTGTTATAACACGTTACTGTCAGACCAATGGCCAGAGCGGCCGCGGCCTTTATGTTTAATGAAAAAAAAAATTCATATGCAATGTTTCGTCAAAATATAATTTATCTTACCTACCGTATTACTAAATGTAATGAATAAATAATTTGAATACCAATATGAATACATCATTAAGTATATTTATAGTAATATAGACTGACAGATAAATTTTTTTTAGAATCATATATTGTTTTGTGTGCAATGATTTATCATTGAATTCAAATTTAACACATATATTAATGTGACTTACTCAATGACAAGATACAAAAAATTCAGATTATGTATATTTGATTTTTTTAAACTAATTTTTAAACAACTTACAAAAATCCTTGTATAATAAAATTGTATACACTTCAAGGTTTTCAACCCAGAAACCAAAATGTTATTAACATAAATCGAAAAAAGATTGAACACTTCATATGTCTTTAAATAGAACCAAGATAGTAATATATTGAAACTTATATACCTAAATATAAATATTTTATGAAAATGTGTTAAAACATTTATAAACAATATAATACATTTATTATATTCCGGTTTTTCTGCTGTTTTTGTTGGCCATTTGGTATTCCCAATTTGTAAATATAAGCACTGGTATTTTTTACTTTTGCCCCCCCCCCCCCCCAAGTGACAATTTATTATAGAATCCAACCTGGGATCCAATATACTACCAAATATCATCCACTCACTAGAAGATTGAGTTTTTGTGGTTTAAAACGTGAAGCCAAAAATAAAAAAACTTGAATTGATGTACAGTGTACACTATAATAATATTATGTACCAACTATAGATTAATAGCTCCGCTCAGAATCTAAAACAAATAAGGAAAAATAAAATATGGGCTGTGTAGCAGTTAACTTGAAATCGTTTATTTTTGAAACAATAACGGTGGTACTTAATTTTGCCTTTATTTGTTAATAAATTATAGTATGGCGATTTATTGACGTGTTATCCGACTTATTTCTGTACTTGTAATTGTTGATTATTATGTATTCACGTATTAATAGTTGGACTTGGACATCGTGCTGTATAATTGCCTTATAAGTTATTAAGTATTACAACAATAACTAATCAATATATAGTCCAAATATTTTATCGTAAACACTAAACTGTAAAGTTTACTCTATACGACTGTTATGCACACTACTCGGGTAAGCAATGAATGGAATGTCGGAATGTACCGTGTTGGTGTTATAACGCAGTTTATTCATCGACCAATTGAAAAAGATTAATTTTGTCACAGTTTGCATGGGTACATACAATAAGCATGCGGCCACTAGCCTGCTGATTGGTATTTAACAAAATAAACAAAAACAAGTAGGACGTATTGGGGGTAATGGGGTGCAGTTTTATCGAACGTAAACATAATATTATGTATTTATGTTCAATGTAAGATACTTAGATACGTTCATTACAGTATAATATATTGACAGTAAATTAAATAAATAAATAAATATCGAGTACAATATTTGACGTACTATATCTACTGCTAAATATTACATAAATAAATAAAAATAATATAGGTCGGAAATTATTGTAAATCGTCACACAAACTCGTTCCATGTGACATCATATTATTAATGTAGACGATCATAATATTAAGTTCACAGGGGGTCGAGTTTCGGAAGGGCTTAATATTCGGCTAAGGGCCGGCCCGAAATCTGATCCCGAGTGTTGTGGTATTACTGCGTTTTCAGTAGGCGGTGTACGACGAGTACAGCGGACCGGCGGTGGTGCGGTGCGCCAGCAGCGTTCGCTTCCAGTGCTGGTGACCGGCCGCCGGTGCTGGCGGCACGTAATACTCGTACGAGAATATCTTTTTGATGTTGCTCATCAGTGACACCATTAGAGCCATTTTGCTGACCAACAGCGCCTTGCCACCCAGCGTGGACATGAACATGAAGCCCAACGGTATAAGGACGGCCGACATGATCATGTACGTGCCCACGATGATTGGGAACACCCTCCGGTAAGCGTGACGTCTGCGCCCTGTCGAAACAAAGTCAAACAAACGCGTCAACGATATTTTCACAACATATGCGGGCTGTACCCACATATCAAACAGGGTTCTTAACAGCAATTTTTATCCCGAATTTGTTTAGGTACATAATATTATAGTAAGTTGTTTTCAGGCGGCTCTTGTAATATACTATGGTACCATGTAGACGATAGACCTATAAACTAACTTAGTTTATTTAATAGCTCTATGGCTGGTACAACTGTTATTATTATGATTTTTGAATTATGGACACCGGGGTTATTAGAGAGTAGTAACATTTTACACTTCATTTCACTTCAAAATATAGGTTTAGGGTTAAAATTATGTTTATGTATATTGTATATAAACGTCTACAATGTTGACCAAACAATACTTCGATAACATGACGTGGCTACTATCATGTTGCCTAATAATAACCTACAATATTATTTTAATAGCTTATAATCGAGAATATTTTTATTTGTATATTATGTTTAAATGGGATCGACCATAACATGTTTTAAGGAGTAATATTTAGGCATTTCATATGACATGTACATTTTGGCTTTGTCATTGTATTTCGAGTAAACTCAAATTTTAGGGTCTTATACATTTTATTATATATATACAATATCAAAATTATGATAGGATAAAAATATGAAATTTAGATACTTATATAATATAGTTATAAAGTGCCATTTCATGCATTTGTATCCGTAATATGAAAAAAAAAGACCATCAAATATGAATTAATTTCTGATCATATTTTTTTTTTGTGTGTACAAACGACTAAACGTTTCGTGTAATGGGTAACAATGATCGACCATATTATATAACGATATGGCTTCTTTTCAAAAATCTATCTACTTACCTAACTAAAAATAACAATTTCATTTCAAAATTTGATTAAAAATGAATAGACTATTTAAGCAGTAGGAGGCACCCACATTAAAATGTTTTTAATGTTCTTAATACTAGCTTCAAAATTAAAATATCGAAAAAAAACCTATGAGGTGTCCTAGAATAGTAGAATGTATTCAAAACATTGAATAGGTGAGGTAGGGGTTGCCACAATAAAAAGGTTTAGAAACACTGGTACACTGCCCTAAGTAATATTTTGACATTTATATTTGATATTAGAGCAGTTCATTCTGATATTAAATATAACAGAGTACAACAGATTCTTTCGAAGGTTAAATATTACTATATTGTCCATGTTATGCATTAATAAGAGGGAGACAGTGTTATTTAATTTATTCTATGGTGTTTTGATCCGTAAGCGTATGCGGGTATAACAATTAACAGTTAATACAATGGCCGGACGCACACCAAAACAGGGTAAAACGAGCGGCCAGTGGGTATGCAGTCCGTAAATCCTGACAATTTTTTTCACAGCATCGGTGTGAGCCAAGCCACTTAAGTGGATATGATATAATATTTAATATACTATTTATTGAATCGACACAAGAGAAATATTCCGATATTGAACTTCGACAAAGGGTATAATATTAGTAATTTTGATGAAATTACGATGGCAAAAAATTTCCAAATATTTTTTTATGTTTTATAATTCAACATATTTTCTTATTTTATATTAATATTGTTATAGAATTATTTATATATTTATGTACACGCCCCACATAATTTTAATATAATAATACTGAGGATTACTGTGTCATAAATCATAATATACATCATACCTACACGCACATATTATAATATATAATATATTATATTTTCGTATAAATTAGATTCTCCACGGTGGAGCGGCAAATCTATATTTTTCACACAATCTGCAGCCCGCCTGCTGCGTAATAAATAGAAAAGAATACTAATTTAAAATGTATTACTGCAAGAACAACCTACAGAAAAAATATAATAATATCAAATTTATGATTTCAATTACATTGCCTACTTTGTGGACAATGACGTAATTGCGGGGGGCAAGGGGGGCACTTGCCCCCTCTTAAATTTTTATGGGGGCAAAAGTATCATTTTGCCCTTCCAAATAATCCAAATGTAAAAAGTATTCTTAACAAGACTGTTAACATAATATTATAATATTAAAATATTTTTTTCCTCAAATTACTATATAAAAGTTTATATTTATTTTTGGTTTCTCTTGTTGAATAATATTATGTTGATGCATTGTCAGTGTTACTGTTTATCGCAATAATCGCATTATATTCGTGACTTTTATTATCCTTGGTTCGTGAACACGTTATTATCTTGATATCGCATTATGACTACAGGAACGGCCGAACGGGAGATTAATTCCCCCCCTCCTAGATTTGTATCCAGTTACACCACTATTTGTGGGTTTCCTTATTAATTTTCAGTACCTTTTATTAAATGTATATTTTATTTTAGTATATTATTATGTGTAGATTAAAGAAAATAATATGTATATAATATGTATTTAAAAGACTTGGATGCCTATAAAAAAGGAACGGCGTCATTACCTACTTCTTTTAATATCTGTACTTTGTATATTATATGACTCTATATAGTCTCAAACTAATTCGTCATTTTTATTACCTAGTTAAAATATTGAGCTTTTTAACAATTATTAATTGTATTTAGTTAATTTTGAAAACTACTACACTATACTTCTTTCAGATTATCTGGAATATTGTTGGGTAACATAATGAGAGATAGTTTTAGTTAAGTTTGGTAAGAATTATGTTTGTATGTCATGATATTAGGTATATTTCATAATTACGACTGAGGTCTGTGACTCTTAAAGATAATTATTTGATATATGATCGTTGTATTACATCGACACAACGTTGTAAAGAAGATTTGATACAGACCGTTTTGAAGGATTTCAATATAGGCAATTTATTAAATATTTGCGCCTTGCGAATATGTGCATTGTGGGTAGTAAGTGACCACTATAGTGCGTGTGAGGTAAAATATGTAAAAGAATTTCGGGATACATCTGTGTGCGCATGTTACCTATACCTTAGTCGACAAGTTATATATTTATAAAAATCAATAAATTGTTATCCGACGTATCGACAAAAATAGATATGTCATAACAAATCTGATGACATAATATTTAAACTTGTTATGAAGTTTACAATTTGTGTCAATTAGGTATAATTGTTAATCAGTTAAGAATTCTCCAATATTTACATTTTATTAAGTGTGATGATTGATTTCAAAAAAACTTCGTAAAAAATTTAAATATATTTTCACATTAATTCACATTGCATTATTGGATTTATTCGTTCAAATCGTACCGTATGTAGTAAACCGACAAGTGGTTATCACCAAATAATGATTGATGAGGTAAGACCCATAAAACAACTTTTTCCACAAAATCAGGTTATTACGAGTTTTTGCGATTATCATTTGGACTCAGTTTAGCTGCGGCAACATGAGCTATGAAATCGATTTTAATGGAAGAATTGGAAGAATTATGTACGGCATATCTAGATGAGATTGTAGTCCGCGGGTCAAGTTTAATAGATCTAATTACAGACAGGAAATGTTTGTTTCTACTTAAATAGGTTTTATACTTAGGGCACGTGATATTCAAAAACGGGGTAACTCCGGATTCAGACAAATTAACTTGCATCAAAGAATATCCGAGACCATTTAACGAGAAAGACGCTAAGTCTTTCTTAGGTTTATTAAATGATTACCGCCGTTTCGTTGATAATTTCGCCAAAATAGCAAAACCTCTAACTAGCTTACTAAAGAAAAACACACCGTTTGTGTGGACAGACATGTGCGAAGGTGCATTCTTGGAATTAAAAAGTAGGTTTATGATCCCACCTCTACTTATCTATTCTAATTGGGAAAACGGAAATTTTAACCTCATGACCGATGCGAGCCAATACGCGATCGGAGCTGTCTTATCCCAAGGTGATGTACCAAAAGATCAACCTCTCGCTTACGCAAGTAGGACACTAAATACAGCCGAAACGAACTATAGTGTAATACAAAAATAATTGTTAGAAATAGTATGGGCTATACAATATTTTAAACCATACCTATACGGAAAAAAATTTTAAATAATTACTGATCACCGCCCATTAACGTACTTATTCAATATAAAAGACGTTTAGTCTCAGTTAATGCGATGGCGATTACAAATCAAGGAATAAGATTACGAAATAATTTATAGAGCAGGCTCACAACATTCCAACGCGGATTGCTTATCACGTATACATGTTGTTACCAATGAAGGGCCAATTAGAGATTTCGAAGAGTTAAAAAAAACAGAAGCTAAACCAATTTTTAATTCTAAAATAACATAAATAAAGGGAATAAGCATTAAACACGTAAAACACGGTGAAAATATAATTTTATCTATTTCCAGTGATAAAATAATAACGTATCACAAAAAGGGGTTTTCCGTTTAAAGAGATAACAAAGGCAGCCCAAATTTTGTTTGGATTGTGCGATCAATTCTGTGTTTTAAATTACAACGCTAATGTTAAAAAACTGACTGATACAAATTATTCAGAAATAAACGACGTAGGAAAACAACTAAGGGTTGTCAAACTCGAGGCGGATAGGGGGAAACGACCATCCGTTGTAATTGATTTAGGCGATGCTATCCAGCAGCTGACAAGTATGACGAACGAACTTAACATAAAGAGCTATCCAGCGTATAATTTTTTTCAGACGAATTATATTTATCTGAGATCATTATGTTATTCGACATCATACAATCGGCTAAGGTAGGATTAGTCCATTCCAGTTTAATGAACGCACCAACCAGAATTACTAAAACAATGGTCATTAAAATAGGGTTACCCAGCGGGACAGACTTACCTATGGAATTAAACGAAAATACTGTGGAAGAAATGATGCCCCTCTCAGACAGACAAAGTTGTATTTATTATAAATGTACCTTTAGTATACCAACATGAATTAACCCTTTTTCAGCTAATACCAGTATCAAATTGTGACCAAAATAATTGTTTATATGTAAAATCTAATCATAAGTATCTAGCTATAAGTAGGTCAAAAGAATTGTATTCCACCTATGACGAAATCGATAGAAGTCAATGTAAACATGCCAGTGATTTCCTCATGTGTCCTTAAATGTATCCTTTACAATC